TTAAAACCTGGAAAAGTCAGATTTTCATGATATGTCGCCTTTAAAGAAAGACCCATCTGTACATGATTGATGATTTTGCTGTATCTTGATAAAGTTTCTGAGTGTTTCTTAATTTTTTAGCATGGAGGAAAAGAACATCCAGGTCTCTCTGGAGTCTAAACTGAAGAGAAAAAAGCAGCTAATGGCCAGCAGATCCAACAGACTGAGACGGTTTGGTGATCACATGCCAGAATTGTTGGAGTCCATCGACAAAGCCTTCGCTCAGGGCCGATTCATCAAGAAACCTGTAGGACCAATAGGTGAGAGGCCCTCAGTATCTTCAGATTATTCACTAAAACTTACAAAGAGTTACTCAACTTTGCGATGCCAAAACCAGTTGTGATTCATCTTATGCAGTGTTTGTTTTTTTCATCACCAGGCGCATGCATCAGCCTAAAGGATCCCAGTTTAGTCGTGGCTGTGGAGAGTTGCTTACGAGGTTTCTTTAAAACCTTTTGCTGTGATAATTACAGGGACGAAAAAGTCCTGCAAGGACTGATGTCGTCATACTTCCCCAAAGGCAGCAGGCCTCCGATTATGGTGTGTCCATTCACAGACAGAGTTTATAACCTGCAAGGCCGGTAAGAAATATTTGTGTCCAGAAATTGAGTCAGAGGTCTCATGTAGCTACAGTATATACAATGTTTCTATGTGTTCTTGTCAGTGGAGTCCATCATCCTGAGTTTCCATCTGTGCTGGACTGCCTCAATATCGAGAACCCGGTGATAACAAACTGCCTCATTGACATGAGGAGCATTGAGAGCATTCTGATTATCAAAGTAAGTAATAAGTAAAAACATTTATAATAATGTCTAACACATAACCAGTGGGGTGCAAACATCTAAATAAAAGACCTTTTTTGTGTTTAACTGATTTAGAATTGTTTGTGTAAATATGTTAAAAAAATTATTGTTTATATGTTCAAAAGTTTGGGATCAGTAAGATTTTTAATGTTTTTTTTAAAGAAGTTTGTTTTGCTCACCAAGGCTGCATTAATTTGATCAAAAATACAGTAAAAACAGTAATATTGTAAAAACATTATTACAAATAAAATAACTGTTTTCTATTTTAATATACTTTAAAGTATAATTTATTCCTGTGATGCAAAGCTGAATTTTCATCAGCCATTTCTCCAGTCTTAAGTGTCACATGATCCTTCAGAAATCAGTCTAATATGCTGATTTATTATGTTGCTTAATATTTTTTTTAGAACCTCTGATACATTTTCATGATTCTTTGATGGTAAAAAAAAGTTAAAAAGAACAGCATATATTCAAAATAGAAATCTTTTGTAACAATGAACACTGCCGTTAAAAAGTTTGGGGTCAGTTTTATTCAGCAAGGATATGTTAAATTGATAAAAAGTGATAATAAAGACTTATACTATTACAAAATATTTTTTTAAACTCTTTATTCATCAAAGAATCCTGAAAAAAGTAAAACAGGTTCCAAAAAATATATATATTAAGCAGCCCAACTTTTTCCAATATGAATAAATCAGCATATTAGAATGATTTCTGAAGGATCGTGTGACAC